CGCGTAGACAGAAACAAAAACAAACACAAACACACACACAGAGAGACACAGACACAGACAGAGACACAGACAGAGACACAGACACAGACACAGACACACACACAGACACACACACACACAGACACAAACACACACAGACACAAACACACACACACAAACAAACACAAACACACAAACACACAAACAGACAAACACACAAACACACAAACACACACACACACAAACAAACACAAACAAGCAAACAAACAAACGCACACACACACAGAGACAGAGACACAGAGACACAGAGACACAGGGCACTCATGCATGCAATGCATGCATGCATACAAACCCGCGCGCGAGGCATGCAGATACGCGTCTACACCTGCATGTACCGTTTCAAGCACATGTGTGCAGGTCCCATTTACTCGTTCTGTTGTTCTTGTACGCCCTTGAAAGCCAGCACCCGACATCCAAAGACAGAGACTTCCAAGCTCTTCAAGAAGCCCGGCCCCATCGTGTCTGCATTGCAGGTCTCTGGGTTTACGACTCAAGGGTTTTGGAGGATGAAGGCTTGTTGAAGTCAAGTCCAAGCGGACTTCAAAGCTCGGCAGGTTTCTATGCGCAATGAGCTGGCGGGGATCTTCCTTCCTTGTTGCCTGCAGTTTCTAGGCTTCACAGCACCTCCTAGGCCTGAAACATGCACTACTTCCACCCAGCCTTACATAGGAGCCCAATTGCAGCCTTGCAAGCTCAAAGCCCCATGTGAAACACAAAAGCACCTGTTAACCTTAGCCAGAAGATGCCGACAGTCCACAACACAAAGAACCCTGCGGCAACTTCAGGTGAAAAGCCTACCACCGAAACCTTAAACCCTGAACCATAAATCCTAAGCCCACGTGGGAACACGCCCATGGCGCCTCAAAGCCCTAAGTCGGCCGTTGCGGCCTCGTCGGGGACCGAGTCAGCGAGCGAAAGCAGCGGAACAGAAAGCGACACCTCAACGGGAGGCCGCGGCAGGGTTTAGGTTTTCAGTTGGGTTTGTTCTGTGCTTGAGGGAGCCGATAGATTGTCAGGTTGGATTGCTTCTCTGTGTTGACTTTTTCCTTCTTCTGGGAGGATGGGAGATGGGTGGCTTGCAGAGTTTATGGAAGGCCTCAAACTTGACGTATTTGCGTGCAGTGGCTCGCTTATCGGGGCTTGTCGTGGTTTGAGGTTCGTGGCATCGAGTGGTGTTGGCTTCGTAGGTGTTTCGTGTTTCGGGACGGGCCGCAGGGCCCTTCATGCCTACGCCCCAAAGCCTCAACCCTCCAGCCAGGTAATATGGCCACGATACTCAGCATCACCATCGCCACCACCATCACCATCGCCATCACCATACTTTCAGCATCACCATCATCACCGCCGCCACCACTACCAGCACCACCACCAACCACGCACCATCAGCATCATCAGCATCATCATCATCCTCATCACCATTAGCATTAGCATGTCCTTCGCCATGATACAGCAGCACGCATCAACAGCTACGGTGCCAGTAGCATTCATTGTTAGAGTACGAACCTCAATCTTGAAGTCTCAAACCTGCCCAGGCGTAGAAGCCTTGACTGAGCCTGGCCCTAGCCTTGTGAGCCCTAAAACCACGAAGCCCGGAAACGGAGATGCTTGACTTTGCAGTGAGTACTGTGTTTCGCCCTGTTAAGCATCTTGGTGTGCTTCTCGCTTGGATGGTCCACAGACATCTTGCGCCTGTCAGGACGTCTCCTGCAGCGGCTGAGGGAGGTTCTCCTGCCCGGGCTTGTCTGGGAACAGCCATCGGCCTGCGGCCCAGACGTCGGCGGCTGCTACTCATGGTAACAGTTGTACGTGTGCTCGTAATGGTATGAGTAATGATAAGAATGAGAATGGCACACAAGGACTTATGACTTATGCGTGTATGACAACGGTAACATCAACTACAGACGTATAATCAGGTAGTAGTGACACAGACGACACCGACACGAAATGACGGTCGGGCTGCAGGATGGGGTTTTCCTTTCCTTTCAGCCACCTGCCTGTCGCGCTCGTGGTTCTGTTTTGGGGTTTCAGGGCAGGGGGAATTTTTGGATGGCCTCAGCCCTTCGCCTCCGGACAGGAGTCTCCTTCCAACCACGAAATCAGTGATTGATCGGCTCGGGGTAGCTAGGGGGCGACAGTGGCAGGTGGATTAGATCAAGAGGGAGCTTGTGCAATCGGCCTTGTCAGCGCTTACGCCATGCGACCTCGCACGGAATCCTCAAGCCATTGCCACAAACATGCGTTTTGTCGCGAAGGTTTTCTGCATCTTGAAGAATGCCCAAAACTTAGCCTGCGGACTGTGGGTGCTGGTCGTGCTCTGGCCTGCATGCCCGGGGTCTGAAGTGTCACTTGGGGTATCGCCGAAGCAAAGAGCCACTTGTTCTCATACAGTGCTTCGACTTTGGTAGGCCTTTATGCAGATTTTCTTTGAAGGGGCATCTCCTTGTCTACATTTTTTCCGTCGTAGCGAGAAACCTTATTCGCTCCTTATCCGGAGCTGACACAACCGAGACGAGAAATAACATAACGGAGAAGAAGAAGACGATGATGATGATGGCGATGATGGCGGTAATGATGACGAGGGGTGATGCTGAAGACAATGAATGATTCGGATTATCATGAACTGCTGTCGGTGAGTGATGGCTATGAAGTTATGATTGGTGACTCTCGTGATGATCATGAATTTGCTTCCTGGCTTGCGGCTCTTCCTGATTGTGAAGATCATTGAAACTCAGCTGGTGATGATGGTTGATCTGATGAGAAGCAAGGCTTTGGCGTTTATCTTCTTCGTCGTCGGAGTGCTGCCGCCCGAGGAGATTACGGGGTTGAGGAGGAGGAGGTTGGTGATTACGTGGCTCGAGTCTTTGATACGCGTGGTGATGTCGGGTTTCATTTCAAGAGCTTGTGCTTTAGTTTATCTTCATGTGCGTGCAGCTCAGGGCTAAACGGTGGGCAGGTCTGCGGCTCAATTTGACTGCTGTTGCAAAGCCGAGGTGTGACAGGTTGCAAGGGTCGTGAGGCGTGTTGGCCCCATTGTTCAAGTGTAACTTGGCAACGCTTGAGTTTCGTGCCAGCACATCACAGGACAACCGCCTCTCCTGGCAGAGTTTTCTTTTGGGCGCTGCGGCCGCAGGCTCCTGAACGCAGCTCAGGGTCGGGTTGTGTTTGACCCAGAATTATTCTACCCTAAACTCTGCTATACGATGCTGTGCTATATTGTTACTATACAGACTATACACTACTTACTATTCCATACTGTGCTGTACTTTGCTTTCTAAAAGGACCTCCGTACGCTCTTTGCAAGCTTCGGATGGAGAAGGAGATGCATTCAGGGAAGTGTGGCTGCGGTTTTCAAGATGAAGTCACAAGAGAGCCTTGCTTGAAGCCGCCCCCAAAAAAATTCAAAACCTAAGCCGAAGAAGCCGGTGTCCATTTTTTGAGTCGAGGGAGAGAATGGATTGAATAGGACAGAAGAAAAGAAAACAGAACAGAGCAAAACATGATGCAACACATTACAATGCCATGTAATGAAATCAATTTATATTCATGTCACTTAGTAAGACTTAGTACTGCCAGTACAAAAGAACACAACACAAACAGAGAGAAGCCTGCCTTGAAGAGCATCTGAGGTTCCATTTATGTCATTGGGACGCTCGACGCTGAAGTGACGAAATGCAGATTGAAGCCCTCGTTTTATTTCGGTTCGCATTTTCGCAGACTGCTTCCTTGTATACCCTAAATGAGCTCGGATGGAACCTGCCATACCTCTGTGAGCGACCGTGTGAGTCGAAATGAGTTCCGCTTCATCACCACTGCGTTCTGAACAAAGCAAACACGAAACCGCCCATATGGTTGTTTCGACTGTACTTCTTGTATTGCGGTGAAGACCAGGAGGATGGTTCTACATGATGACGACGGTGATGATGGTGACGTTGGTCACGTTGGCGGTGGTGCAGATGGCGTTGTCAATTACCATGTGTGTGCTACTATTCGCGTTTGAACCGTTAGTTTCTGTATTGGGTTAGGCGCTGCGAAGGGTAAGGGTTATAGCCTTATAGCATCATCGGATTTCTTTGCCCGATGGCACGTTTTATCAGTTCACCTTGCGCGGCACGGGCCGATAGACCCAAACTTCTGTCGCAAAAGGGAGGAGCCAGCTGCGCAGGCTCATGATTGCAACCCCACCAGAAAGCCTTACACGCTACTCAAAGGATACCGCGCATCGGATCAGGAGACGTGAAGACTCGGCTACAAGCCGGGAACACCGCAGTTCTTTTATACAAAACGTTCTTAGCAAGTGCCCTGATCCGTTCAGTAGACCTTTCTCAGGAGGGACCCCTGCTTTCTGCAGAGCCTACGTGACTCTGTGGCCATGCTCACCCACCAGAACAAGCGCTTATCGACTAGCAACGTCAAGTTGGAGAAGCAACTCCAGGAACTGCAATTTTGGGATTGAAGGCTTAGTGCTTGACAATCGTAGCAGTAGACTTTGAGAGCATGGAGACTGGGAGTCGTTCTGTAAGCAACATGGCCATATGGTTCGTAAGAGCAAAGTGCTATTGATCGATGTCCGGCACTTGTAGCTTTCATTGCTCATCATGTTGATGTTGAGAGCTGCATAAGACCAGTAGCACTAGCGACATCAATGCTGAAGGCAGTACAGTCGACCAGCCAGGGCAGTCACCATAGCAACGACAGCCATGGCAGCAGAAACAACCCTGATACTTTACGTTTGAGTTTCAGCCCGGGTCCTACAGCAGTCGTCTGTAGAAGTCTGGGCCAAGTTAAGTCCATCATCCCTTACGTGCGTAGCCTAGATAGGTCCTGGACCCTAAAGCCCAGCCCTCACTGACATCAGAAGGGAGCTGTAATCCGAAGATTAGCAAAGGTGCAGACATCTGACGAATAGACTTATATAAAATTACTTTGAAGGACCATCCTGGCAGGGTCTCCAACACAATTCTGAAGGAGAGTGCAGGCAGGAGCCGACGGGACCCTAAACCCTGACCGGCAACAGATGATGAGCCTGATCTGGCTTGTCCGAGTGTGAGGGCCAAAAATGCAATAATCGTAGAAACACTTGGTGACCTAACCCGTGCGATCCGAAAGGAGCTGGCGGGAGTTGACCAGAAGTTCGCGGCAGCGCCTCTTATGACTTAAGGATTTCGGTTTAGGTTGTCGTGTTCGACTGAGTGTCTTTTCCCGGCGGACCGGGAACCCGACGTCAGAGCAGGTCCTGCAGAACTGAGGCACCAGAGTACTTCTGTGCGGCCTAAAACCTTGTGCTGATGGCTGCTGCAAGTGGAGTCAGGTGTCCGTGCTGTCGAACCACCAAGTGTCAATCTCTACCAACTTCTACTTCGAACACCAAACTCGGGTGCATTAGTGGTCACGGAGAAAGGAAATCCATGGTCAGGGTCCGGGCATCCCCCAACAAATGGCAAAATCGATTCGCGCAGACACACAAAGATTTTTGGAAGGTGTCGATAGAAACTACCAAGGTGCACAAGCAGCTAGACACTGATGCAGAGTCCGCACTGGAGCTGCTGCGGAACTTGGAGCATCACAGCCGGGTGCAGGCCCCGAGCAAACAGAGTGGCACTGAGACTTCGGGGTTACTGTGGCGCTCTGGGGCTACTCGGGTTTTAGGCTATCAAGGCTGCAGGCTTTCTAGTCCGAGCTGCCCTGAGCCTCCAATCCTAGCCCGGGGCATGCCAAGGGGCCCGCGTTTTTCGCATGTACATAGCGTCATAGCGTGGCACCGTGGGGATTTCGCAGGCTGTGGTGTCCTCTCTGAGCTTGTTCTTGCATGCGGACATGGACAAAAGCGGCAGCTTGCAGGAGGAGGAGCTGTGCCTGGCAGTTTCAATCCTGTACAAGTCAAGCTGGATTCTGGAACCATGTGGAACCAAGTTCACTGCTCCGGTGATCCGATGTCCGACGAGTCGGGAATCAGTGATGAACATTCCACCGTGACTGAGGGCCATAATTAGGGAGCCTTGGAGCTACCATGTTGTTGCTGCATGAAGCCTGAGTAGCACGGCTGAGGAACTCGGACTGTTTGCCCCATTACCTCGCATTTAACTCGGAAAGAAGCTGGCAGCAACCCTCTTGTCTGAATTCCAGGAGGCGGAACAACTCCTTCTGGGCTTCACGCAGCTGTGGGATTTGATCCCGGGCTACCCCGAGGCTCCCTTCTTCTATTAGTGTTTGGGGTTTGTGGCCCCAAGCCCTAATGAAAAATGCCGAAAGGGCTTTAGGGTTGAATTTAGGGTTTTTTTGGCGCCCTGGACCAGGATGCAGTTCAGGACCTCGAGGGCGAACTTACGTTTGAGATGTTCTCTGAGCTGCTCCGTGCCGCAACTGCATAACATTTTGCCTGTCTTAAAGAGTCCCACGTGCTATGCCGAAGTCCACATCCCAGGTCGCAGGGTGTCCGCCTGTCAAACCGTGATGTGTTGAGCCCAAACCCTGGAATTGTTCGACGCATGGACCCCAGGGTCAAAGCCTGAGGCTCCAAGACGGAACACCCAAAATTCCCGAAATTCCAACACTCTTCAAACTCCAGCCCTCAAGCAAGCCTTATAGAATCTGCAGAACCCTTACATGATTACGCCAAAATCCCAAAACCCGAGGTGCGGTGGTTCAGGAGGACGCGCCGAAGTGCCGTAGCATCCTGGACACCATCCTCCATCAGTGCAGCAGCAGCAGTTCGATGACCCCGAAAGCTTGAGTCAAGGGCACTAGGTTTTAGGTTCAGAGCTTGCAGGAGTGGTTTTAGCATTTTCGAAGATGTAGGCAAGGTCTGCTAAACTTCTGTGGCCGCAGGCCATTGGCGACGTGACAATGGGTCGTATCTTATCGCCGGGGACGTTTGTGTTCCTAACTGCACTGAGCCAGCTTGAAGAGGGAAGCTCCACGGAGCCGTTGAAGCCAAGGGTCCGAGACCTTTCGTGCCTTCCGTCGGTTCATCGGAATATAGATAGAATGGGGTTTCATTAGGGCTTAAAGACCTCAAGATCCGAAGGTACAAATTGCAGGGTTTAGGTGTTGCATTCTGCAGGGTCCGGGTGTCACATTCTGCAGGTTCCGTGACACTGCAACGCCCGAAAACTTCACCCGGGAATCCGTCAAGTACAAAGCTCTCCTGCGCATTCAAGCCTCCAAAGAAATGCTGCCGAAAACCGGGATGGGGCGCCGTGGATCTTTATATCGTCGTCTGTTTGTATATATGGAGTAGTTTCTGTCACAAGAGCTTTGTTAGGGCTCCTTGCGGGCTGGCTGTATACTTTCGTTGTTCTTATCTGGGTGCCAGTGAAAGGGAGCATCGTACCCTGGAGAACGTCTACTTACTTTAGCCCTCGTCTCGTGGCATACGACAGTTTCTACACTTCAGCTCGCAGTAAGGTTACCATCAGACCTCTGTAAGCCCCGGCTCTCCCTGTGGTGACCTCCACCAGAGCCGTGTCTTCAGCATATACAGAGACTAAATATAAATATAAATATAAAGAAATAAATATAAATATAAATATAGATAAATAAATAAATATATGTATATATACATATGTATATACGGTATCAGGCTACAAGTAGGTGTCAGGTGAAGGGGTTTGCAACGCAGTCCTGGAAAGCCCTGCGATCTGTTCAGCAGGGACGATGACGATCGAATCATCATGGCTGCGCCCTCGCCGGTTTATGGTGCGCGGCAGGACCGGTGTGTGTCGTCGAAAGTGTCAGTGCGAGTGTGTGTGTGTGTGTGTGAAGAGACCGGGGGAGTGCAGGGGCCTCAATGATGAGAATAGGGTTTCGGGTATGTTACAATAACACCTACGGAGTAGTACTGGTAATTATTTAGGCCTCTAGAGTAGGGAGTTGAGGGTGGCTAATCAGGTGGGTGCACAGTCAGTGCCGGAATGCCGCAAGGGCTCCGTCCTCTGATGAGCATTGGGTGCAGCATCGAAGGTTTGAGCCTCGGAGTTTCATCGGGTGTTCTATATCTTCTACAAGGGTTGGGGTTTAGGCTTAGGGGATTCTCCTGGAGTTGTCTCCATGGTCCATTGCTTGTCACAGGCTACGCCGAAGGAGGACCTCGAAAGTGGGAGCGACAGTGTCCATGCTGATCTGGAGGTTTTCAGCGAAAAAGGGAGCCAGGGCTTAAGGGTTAGGGCTCGAGCCCCGATCAAAATTTTTTTAAACGGACGGGGCCCAACATTGAAATGACTTTGCCGTACCACCGCCAAGAACGAGACGAAGATGGCATTAGCGGCGACAACAGGAACTCTGTTTGAATCAAAGTCCTTCTGAATTCAATCTAAGTTAAGCCACCAGCGCCACGATCTCCTCAGGAGGCAGTACCGTCAGGAGAGCAGCAGCAGGAGGCTCAAGATCGCGAGAATGGTGTCTGTCATCATCATCATCACCACCACCACCACCATCATCACCAGCATCGTCATGTAATCATCGCCTCACCAGCATTATCATCATCATCATCAGCACCGTCATCATCATCATCATCGTCACCACGGTCACCACCACCACCACCAGCCCACCACGATGGTCGTCATCGTCATCATCATCATCCTCATCATCATCCTCGTGCTGGTCAATGCCATCATCTCCGCATCACTCTCGCCACTATCTTCCTGCTTTATCGTCCTCCAGTTCGCGGCAGTAGTGCTGCGTATGCTCTGACAGATGGATGGATGGACGGACGGATGGATGGATGGAAGGTACATCCTTTGCACAACCACGGTGTAATGCGGGCCCGGTGGACATTTGTGCGGAAATTCCATAGCGCAAGCGAAGGTCGTCCGGACGAAGACGACAAGATGAAACCCTGGCTGACAGTTGGTCCTCTGCAAATCTGGGGCGTTTTGCACCTCGGGGACCCCTGGACTCAGACAGTTCAAGTTGCAGGGTGAGTTCTTGGGTTGGTGCTTGGAGACCCATCAGTTAAACACCATGCACCCCACAAGTCAACCAGCCCCACACATCGCTCCGCAAAGGCGAAAAACTATTTAACAGGCTAACATGACAATGTGAGCGCAGGCCAAGCTACAGCCTCAGCAGCTATCAGCCTTGGGTTCAGGGGGTCAGGGTGCAGGCTTTCGGGTATCTACCCTAGCGGAGCTACAGTGACATGCCGGCTGAATGTTTCCGAGTGAACTTCAAAAAAGAACGTTAAACCCTAAGCCTGAACCCGAAGCCGGAAAAACCGCAAGAACCTTAGACCCCGAAGCCTTAATGCAGACCTTCGGCCAAGGGATGTGATCTTCCTGGACTTTTCGGCTTCTACGATCGCCTTTCTGATGCTCATCCTTGGTGGAGGGCTGGTGACGTGGCCACAACTCAGAGAAGGGATCGGGTTTCCTGCAGAAGTCAGACCGGGGACTTTTCATGCCAAACTCCGCCTTCCCAGCTTCTTTGCTACGTGTCCCCTGCATGATGTTGTCTCAGAGCAAGGCAAGGTCGAATCAATGAAGGAGAGGTACTTTGCATTTAAGCATTCGGTGGTGGGACCTTTGAAATCAAAATCCTTCAACCTCAACCCCAGGTGCCATAACGCCGCTCGCAATCAGCTCTTTCTTCCATCCTCTGCCGCAGACTCTAGAGGGACAATGAGCATCCGGCTCTCGACCAGGCCTTGCAGGGTGAGCTGCTCGTCATTGCGAAGCGGCTGCGGAAGGAAGTGGGCGTCTACAAGGAGGACAGGTCTTCAGGTATCGGCACATGTTGTATCGAATTTCAAGCTTGAGGTTGCGGATCGGCAGCTTGGCCGTCGGGGCTTGGAGCTTGGGGATGGCACCACTTACCTGAGCCCCGTGTTCTTCGTCTTTGAAGCGCAGGAGAATACGAAGCTGGCGCAGTCGGTGGAGGAGTTGACAGGCCTGCGCAGCTGTCTTTTCGCCGTGTCCGCTGTCGGAGCTGAGAGCTTCCTGTAACATAGGGGCCTCAATACTTACCTGGATGATTTTGGGGGTTCCCCGGTATAATTGTATAATTACAGTGTAATATAGTGTAGGCCTCTATCCTATATCATTCTGCCACAACTCCCTGCAGCAGGTCGTTTAGAACGCATCTTTGGATGTGGAGGACAGGAGATGCTAGTGATGCCGACCGGGTGAAAGTTCACAAGTGCCCGAGAAACAGCCCTGAACCCGAAATCCTAACCTAGCCCAGCTTCACTCAGCCGACCTTCAGACAGATGCCCTGGCCTGCCCAAGACGCAACCGCAGATTGGTGGCAGCGGATCGTCTAGATCCCCGACACCTCAACACACTTAAGACTTGAAGATGCCCCAAATAGCTCTGCGACATGAAGCCTAAGCCCTGAGCCGTAAACCTGAAACCCTAAGCCCAAATGCCTCGCCCGGAGTCTCCGAGTGCGAGTGCCGAAACCCTAAACCCGTCGCTAGGTCGGGTCCAGCGCCTTCGCTCCATCCAGAAAGGTGGGGGAGCCACGCACAGCCAGATAGTTTGGGCGTTCTCAACATTGGGGCCTCATCCGGGATCATTTTTTCTGCGTCCTTATATTCAGGATCCTACGTCGTATGTAGGGTCTCCCTTGCGGTCCACTGTTTCCATTACTGTCAGGTTGCAGTGTTTAATCGGTCAAGGCAAGCTGCTTGATTGACGACCTGCAATTGTTTCAGAAAGCTTAGAGATCATCAGGCACTGGGCAGCACATGATCCGGTGGTTGCCGCAATAGTGCCATGCGCATCATATCGGGACTAGCCGAAAACAGGGATCATGACGAGGATCATGGCCGCACACACGTCAAAACGACATCTTGAGACGAACAGGTCCAGCTTTACAGTAACCACCCCTTGTCTCGCAAACGTCGAAGACCGACCTGGCACAGATGTTCATCGTTTACGTCTGCATTCGCCACCATTTAGATACAAATACTGGAGGTATCGAGCACCATTTTCACCGGTGTACGTGCTGCCTGGTATCACCTTCGTCGAGATCAGGCCCCAAAATGAAAAGCTAAACCGAGGAGAATCAGTAAAATACCTTCTCTGCTACCTAGACAAAAAGGCACATTCGTGCATCAGAACCCATCCTTTTGTGCCGCACCCGGCTTCGCACCAGGCCACCAGCATCACTAACATCAGCATCAATACCGAACATGCGGGCTTCAAGCAGGCATCAAGCCGACTCATTATTCCTTGAACTGTTTTATGCTGTGGAGTAAACTCTTTTCTCCCTGCCCACCGCATCCCACCGACACAGTGCATTCGAGAATCGACGCTGTGGCCCTGTAGGCTGTTTCAGCGAATTTTCCGAATGAGTTCTTGCCGTTTTGAGGGGTCCCATATCAGAGGGTTTAGGGTTCAATTCTGGCCGTGCGAAGAGGCTTGGAAAACTTGCACGACAAGTTTGGCGATAATGCCAGGCGCATCTCGGCTTCTCCTGGTGCTCTGATGCTTCACGCATGTCCAAAATATCCGTCGGTGATGTCTCTCTACCTTTCTCTTGCTGATTTAAATGAGGGCCCTTCGGTGTTTTCGGCATCTCTTGAAGCTCCTTCGGCCCTTCGACAAGAAGAGCCTTGACGCGTCGTGGTCTTCCGAAGCAGTCTGGTAAGAGTGCGGGTTCGTATACGTTCAGAGCACAAGGGTTCAATTAGTGTAAGCACGAGGCGCCCGTGGCAGGGGCGCAGCGGTTCCACGGCTCCCACCGCAATGTGTATGTTGGACAAAAGTCGCTTTCTTTGCACAGGCCGGCGCCGGCGAGTCCGCCGATAACACCGAATTCTCTTTAGCATCCGAATTCGGTGCTCTCGTACTAGATGAATCATGCTTGTGCCAAGAGGCCGTGTGCACTCTGAGGTGTTTTGGGGTGGAAATTGTATCGGCTCCTCCGCTTCTCGAACATCCTGTGGCGCGACAGTTCCAGCGTTTCCGCTTCCTGAAATACATCCACAGCACCGTGCATCTTTTTCGTGCGAAAGCGTGTTCCCCACAGTGCGGTGCATGTTCTGGAATGCCAATCGTGCTGCAGTCCTACGTAGTGCGCATTTTGGGCTCATGGGAGCCACGGGCATATCTTTCATGGGTTTGCGCGAGTCTATGCTGGCACAATACATTACGGACCCTGAAGCAATTCAGTTTCTGCAAAAGCTCTTTTTGAACCTAGGTTTCCTGGCCGAGGTTCACACCCTTCATGTCCGCATCATCCAAGGTGCGCAGCAGTTGGCGCGCAAAGAGTCGTCGCACTCGAAAACACACCTGGCAGGAAGCTTGGGAGAAGCAAAAGCTTGTGTGCCATGACCATCGTGAGAAGAGCAGTGCAACAGCAGCAACAAAACACTGGCAAGGATAACAGGCACGTCTTTCTTTCCGGCTGCTCGATTGAGTTTCACCTGCAGGCTTCAGGAATTCGGGCAGTGAGGCCTTAACCGTAAAGGTCCTTGAAACCCTGAACAACCTGCTGCTACTACTACTACTACTA